TTCTCTGTGGACTGTTTTTGCACCATGTTTCTTTTCAGCTGCACTGACTCACACGTGTTTCACACATGCTGGCCCACGGGCACTCCTTGTCTTTGCTGGTGCAGGTCCCTGTTCATGGAGGTCTCCTCCCTCCCCCTTCCCTCCATCTCCCCTTCCTGACTCGCACCACCATGTCTGTGTGGCCAACCTCTGTCCTCTTTCTGTTTGCAACCTGGAAGTCCTATCTTCATGAGGCAATATTTGCTCCTCCTTTCCCTGTGTTCTCACTGCCTTCTTCATCCAAAAGGCTTTTAATAGTTTTCATATCTCTGTTCTACGAGACTGTGAGCCCTTTTGGTGGGGAGGGCAGTGGAGGTCCCAGCAAGTGAGGGGTGGGAGTTGACTCCAACAATAGTTACTTCCTGGGAGGCCACTGGTGGACTAAGAGCATGTTATGTTGACTGGAAACAAAATGAATTCAACAGAAGGCCTGGAATAACTCCACTGAGCATCTCCTAGTCTCCCTGCCTGCTCTTTCCCTTCGTTCTTCTCTGCCTTCTCTTTTATTCACTGTCTCCTTCTGTGCCCTCTTTTGTTTATCCTCTTTTTCCTGGCTTCTTCCTATCCCTTTTCCCTTCTGCAGGAACTTGCACCAGCTCCTAGGCAAACCTGCCCTCTTTTCCTCCCCTGTTGTATCTCCTTCCCCTTGGCCACGTCTTTACGACCTTGTTTGTATCTGCGTTCTTCTGAAAGCATCAGCTTGTCACTTGCCGACAAAGTCATTACCTTGGAGAATTTCACCATGAGGGTGGTGATATGGACAAACGAGCTCACAGAAGGAGGAACATGCTGCAGGTTTGCAGACCTGCAGTCTCAACTGAATCTAACACCCAGAGAGAAACTGGTTAAAAGTTCTCCTAAAAATAAGATAATAACCATGTGAGCGCAGTATTTAAGTTCTTCCCTCAAGAGGAGGTGTTTGTTTTTCCTTTTAAGATGCAAGGGATCCTGGCCCCAAAATACCCCTGAACACCCATTTATACCCCTGCTGGAGGGAGGAGGCGCATGTGCCTGGCGTGATGAGAACTCTGGGTCTGGGGTAGTGGTGACTGGCTCCTCGTGCTGCCTGTCAGTCCCCTTCCTCAGCCACCATGAGACGGGGAACAGGGTGACACCGGTTGCCACATCCTTCTGAAGGTTACACAGAAGAGGACACTGCAGAGGCCATGGCCCCTCAGGGAGAACTAAGCGTGGGATGCCGGCAACCCACCGGTCCTTGTCCACTTAGGGGCCTGATAACCTCATGGAAATGGGGTGGGGGATCTGGCGGGCTTCACAGAGGGGACAAACCTAGGTGGGCAAAGAGTGAGCCCCGAAGTCAAATGAGATTGATGGCATTTTCCTCTCTAATGATTTTTAATAGCAGGAATTTGGATTAGGTGTAAATAGCTTAAAGCCCAAAGGAGATGATTGATTATTCTTAATAATTCATTGATTATTTTAAAACTCTATTTACCTGACACAGACACCAGTCCAAGCATTTCTCTGGTGCCATTGTCCCTGAAACTCATCTGCTGTGGCTGGCTTTTGAGGAGGGAAATGAAAGTAAATAGAAGGCTGTTTGTGAGCAGTCCCTCTGCTCTGCTTAAAAATAAATTAAGGATAGCAGGTTCTGCTCGCTCCTGGAATGAGCACATGGAGGGGCATGCAGAAATTCTGTTTTTACCTCAAGATGAAGAACTGGGCAGGGCTTTAAGGATGATCGAATCCAACCTTCTCATCTTGCAGCAGGGGAATGTGAGGCTCAGAGAGACCAGTTAACACTCCCAAGACTACAGAGTTGAAGGCAAGACCAGGAGCAGAGAGCCCCGTTAGCCCAGGGACCTTCCTACAGATTCACCGGGGCCTTCGGAATGGCTCATAGTCTAGGTCACTACTGGGTTAAGTAGGTTCTGAGGGCCAGTTCTCCCAGCAGTATTCACACCAAATTAGCCAGAACACTCGGGTTACCCAGGACCCAACTCACTGGCAGGGAGGCACTGGAGAAGCAGGGAGACTGGCGGCCAGGCAGGGAGGGGTTGGCACCGGCAGACCCATCAGGGATGCTGAACAGCGTGGGTGCTCCTGCCTGGGGTGTCTGTTTCACGAGGGCTCCAAGAATTCATGACCATCTCTTCTATAGAGCAGGCTGGTGGCTCTAGAACCTGGCAAAAAAGGGGCCCCACCTCTCCATGCCTATGAAGAGTAACTAACAGGTCTTCTTTCCCAGCAAATGCTCAAAAAGCCCAGCCTTTCCCGGGAAATCCGGTTCCAGTGTCGAACGCCCTTGTTGTATTTGCCGCTCCACAAGAAATTGAAGTGACTTCAGGGAGCATAAATCTTTTTTTGTTGTTTTGTTTTCTATTTAATCCTCATGCTGTTTAAGGCTGGAGTCCTGAGCATGTCGGTGTTTCTCCTCCTTGCCCAGCTGAGGCCAGGAGACTCAAGTGTAGCCATTAGACATAACGGTTCAGCGGGGCTGCGTCCTTGCCCGCACAGTAGCGTGTTAATGAGTGTTGAAACTGACAGCGCAAATACAGCGTTCTCAATTTTTAAAATTACAACTCGGTAACAAGTCATGCTGTTAAAACATACAAGAAATACCAGTTAAGCCTTCGAGTAGATAACACACAGCCTGTACAGATCACTGCTATCCCAAAGTGCAGAATAGATCATGTTCTTTGAAAGGAAGCAAGAATTAGCAAGTAGTTGAATTATTTGAATGCTAAGATAAGTAGAAATAACAAATCCAAGTATTAAATACCAATTACTACCTTAGGAGCTACAAATCAGCTCGGCATTACAACATGCCCCTTCTCGGTAGCAAACGCAGGAAATGCGGGTGTTTGGCAGAAAACACAAACCTATAACCAATATGCATCTATGCAGTAAAGACACAGTGTCACTGCCCAGCCAGCACTTTCAAAATGCTCATCACATGTAGTTCAAGAAAAGCCTGACCCATATATTTGTCCCAATGGCATTGAAAAGAACAACCTTCAAAATGAAGGGACTGAGGCTTCTTTCAAGCCCTCAGCTGGGAATAGGTGATCTGAAGCTTTTACTCTGTCCCCTGAAAGGAAGTTTATGGGTCAGTCTGACAGCCTGGTGGTCAAAGATGTCACCTCATAATTGTTTTCTTAACTTCAGAAACAGAGCAGAAAATTCATCTGACCTTCCCCGCCCCGGATTAGTTTCAGGGCCCAGAAGAAACTGCTACATAAGAGAGAGGAATGTTCTTTCTCCCCGGATCACAGTTGTGTCTCCATCTTTTGTGGGAATAACTCCAGGGTTCAAGCCAGCTGGGTTCTCTCTCCCTCTTATCTGAAACCACTGCTTGGAGTACATGGTGCTATTAGGACATTCTCATGCTCAGAAGTGACTGAAGTTCCAGGATGGGCAAAATAATGTTTTATACAAGTGTCTTTATGTACAAGAGATATGAAAAGGCAGTCTCTAAAGCACTTTGGGATTCCCCCAGTGAAGGCACCAGATAAATGCAAGTCATCACCAAAATGGAAAGTCAAGTTTCCCAGCTTTCACATCTGCAAAGAGTAACCACGAAGGATATCTCTGCTTTGGTGGTAAAACCTGCCTGTTTAAAAAAGAACACTCATGGCAGTGACTGAGTTATTCAGCCTCCTTCCTTGTTTCCACTTTTCACAGGCTTTATGGTCAGTGACCATGGATACCATGCTCAGTGACCCAATCCAGTCAGCCTTGGCAAACTGAACAGTCCTCACTAGTTTATACCATCACCTGCCGCAAGGCAGCTGGAGATTACTTCATAACCTCTCTGCCTTCCAGAGCTGCAAACATCAGCCAGAGCCGAGTGCTGCATGTGCAAATTCTGAGAAATAACCCTGCTCTTCTGATGTGGCTGGTGGCCTCTAAGTCATCTTACCTTTCCTGATGCTTCTGAGAAACAGATGTAGATGATAGACTATCAGGCACTAGGAGGTGGCTGCCTCCCTGCCCCCTTCTGAGGCTCCAGTCTGATGGAAGGATTTGAACTGGGGACCCAAAGGCATAAGTGATTAGTGCATTTGTCCAACAAATGGCCCCCTCTGTAGTAGCCATGGCAACTACAAATCCACAAAGCCTCTGACAAGATCCTCACCCACCCCCAATGAATTACGCACTACCTTCAACCAGCTAGGACACAACAGACTTTCTTAGGTAAGGTCCAAGCCATGAATAAAAAGCCTGCCTAACCCCATGTTTAGACCCCTGGATTCTGCAGTCTTTGCAAAGACTGAATGATAACAGAAGCCAACTGCAAAACCATCTGATTACCTAGAATATAACAAAGGACTATCTTACAAAGGGACCCAGGTTAACCCTTCAAAATGCTTTGTGCTGGTTAACTGAAGAAGAGGAAGGAGGGCATTTTGGAGAAGGAAAGAGTTCTCAACCTTCAACACAAGTTGCAAAGTTTAAATCGCATTAAGCTTTTCAAGAAGTTTACAATTATTTACGACACTTTATTAAGTAACGATGCCATTTTGCTGTATAACTCTTTCCTTTCTTCTGGCCTCCCCTGACCCTCTTCTAACAAAAGGACTTGAAATGGAAATAAGAACTACAGTATTTCCATCCTGGATAAGCCATATATCTATATTCGAGTACACACTTCCACACCACCAGGTTTCCATGTCACACCAGGAACTCTGGGGCAATTAGAGCATTGTGTGTAACATACTGTATCCTAGAAGCAAAATTACCTAAGTAAATTCTGCTTGGAAATCAAAGGGCTCGCATTTTATAAGCTTTCAGAGCAGGCAAGGAAATTTTCTAAGCTACTGCCCTTGCTAGCAACCCGACCATATTTGCCTCAGAAAGACAATACAACAGTAAACCTCTTTTCAGTTGAGAAAGACAATACGATCTTATTTCTAAACATCTTTTTAAAAAGAAATATTTCAAAAACATGCTAATATCTAAGACACAGCAAAGTTTGGTCAAAGGACCTAGACCAGGAACCTCAGCCAGAAAGAAATGTCTCCACAACCACCCTAGGAAAGATGGAAGTCTAACTTGAAAGCATCCTGTGATCTGGCCTATTTTTAGCTGAAGCCCCTGTCCCTAATGCATTTGTTCTTGGGAAAAAATGTCAATCTTCACTACATGTTTAACAGGGTAACATTCTCTAGAAAGAGCAACATTTAAGAGATGAACATCAGTGTACATCATTCTAAAAGTGAGCAGGGTATCCGTGCAAGTCACAGAGCTACAGGTCGCTTATAAAAACAACTCACAGACTTGTATCAGTCATGTGTGCTTACCTTCACATACTCTGTCTTGGTAGTAAAACAGAATGAAAGCCATGGATAGAGAATGGGGATTTTTTTTTTCACATGACTGTGAGCAAAACCTCATCACATTCTTGCTGACCTCAGAGATGTGTTTCCACTGGACAGACTTGTGGGGGCTTTTTGTAAGGAACTCACACGACAGCCTCAGAAACAGGAGCACAAACAACTCAGAGACAGTACCGGCCACAAGCACGAGAGTAGAGTACACAAAGAACAGAAAAGTTAGCATTCTGGGTGGTACTCATCTGGCAGAAAAGTGAACATTTTATGCCCACAATGCAAAGACCAGTGAGTGTCATTCCATTGAAAGGTGCAAAGGCATGGTGTCAGACACACCACCCTCTAAAAATGATCCTAAATACTGTGAAAGTAACCTGGGGTGCATATCCCATGCATCTCTCCCCTTTGGGGCTGGGCATACTCCTTACGCCATAACCCTAAGGTGCCTGGACTGCGCCCGAGGCACAAGAGACAGCTCAGCAATGTGGGTTTGAGGCCAAGTCCTCCTGGCTAATGTAGGGAATCATTTAAACTTAGTTCACTTGGTGAGCTCCTGCTCATGTTTGTCAGGCTCGCCATGAGGGATTTAACTTTATGGGCATAGTAATCCCTTAAATTGACGGAAGGGACCTCCTTCATTCCATCCCCAAAGTCACAGCTGCGCATGGCACTCTCAAGCTGCTTTTGGCGCCGATAAAAGTGGGAGAACTTATTGAAGATCAAGGTGATGGGCAGCACCACCACTAGGATACCAGCCAGGATGCAGGCAGAGGCAGTCAGCTTCCCTGCCGTGGTCCCTGGGACCACATCCCCGTACCCTACAGTGGTCATACTGACAGTGGCCCACCACCAGCAGGCAGGGATGGTGGCCAGACCCTCGTTCTCCTCCTTTTCAATGGTGTAGGCCACGACAGAGAAGATGGAGATCCCCACAGAGAGGTAGAGCAGGAGCAGCCCTACTTCTTTGTAGCTGTATTTCAGGGTGGCCCCCAGGGAGCGGAGGCCAGTGGAGTGTCTGGCCAACTTTAAGATGCGGAAAATCCGCATCAGCCTCAGAACCTGGGCCACCCTGCCCAAATTGGCCAAGGTAGGTGTGCTCTCCACAACCAGGTTCACCACCAGGGTGATGTAGAAAGGGACAATGGACATGAGGTCGATAAGGTTTAGGGCATTCTTGAAAAACTTGAGGAAGTCAGGGGCCACAGCAAACCTGGCCACCAGCTCAAACGTGAACCAGGCGATGCCAAAGTGTTCCACGATTTCGAACCTGGGGTCCTCACCAGGGTTTCCCTGGCTGTCCGGGATTTGGAAGTCCGGCAGGCTGTTGAGGCACATGGTGATGATGGACCCTAACACTACCAGAATGGACAGGACGCTGAAGACCCTGCTCAGGACCGAGTAGCCAGGGTTGTCCAGCGCCAGCCACAACTGCCTGCGGAAGTTGCCCAGGGGCTGCCCGTCGAACTTGGAGGCGTCGTTGTAGAAGGCCAGGATCTCATCGAAGGAGGACGTGGTGCTTTCCTGGTCGCTTTGCTCATCCCACTTCTCCTGCTCGGGCTCCACTTTGCGGCCGTGGTAGCTGTAGCTGCAGCAGGAGTCGATGAAGAACTCGTTGATGCCCCAGTACTCGATTTCCTGGCTGAAGGAGAAGACGCACAGCTCCGCCATGACGTGAAGCTTGCCGGTATGGTAGAAATGCAGCACGTAGGGGAAGAGCTCCGGGTTGCGGTCAAAGTAGAACTCACGCTGGACATCGTCGTAGTCATCGCAGAGCTCCAGAATGGCCTCACGCGAGTGGCAGAGCAGCAGGCGGCCCAGGCGCGTCTCCGGGAAGCGCAGCAGCGTGTGCGAGCGCAGCCGCCTCTTGAAGCCGCCTACGTTGATGCGGATCTCTCCATCCTCGACGTTGGCCTCCGACACGTCCCACAGGCTCTGGCCAGTCATGCTGGAGACGCCCTGCCGCCCGCGCCGCGCGGGGGCGCTACACCTGGAAGCCGAGGGAACCGTGTCGGGTGAGCGCGGGGTGCTCAGGGCTCAGGCTTCCCTTTCTTTCTCCCCACCCGTCTTTGGCGCTCCCAGTCCTCTCTAGCAGGTCTCTGAGTGCTGAAGGACACTGGGATGACGGGGAAGGTTCTATGGGGTTTGGTCCCTTCCCAAAGAAAGGCTTAGGGTGGGGATTATGTTTCCATTAGCATGGCCGCGCTGCCACCCCCACCCCGGGGGTTCTGCCGGTCGCTTCACGCTGGCGGGGATCGCGCCCCCGCAGCTCTGAGAGCCGAGGGAGCCGCGAGCTGACCTTGCCCGTGGGCTGGCCGAGGAGACGCCCCCGCCCGCTCGCCGCAGACAGGCGGGACCAGAGCTGGGTTGCGCACGGGCAGGGCTGGGCCGAGATGGGGGGCGCGTAGCTTCGGGAGGGGGGCGAGAAAATTCACCGCTCTAGTCAGTAAACCCGGGCAGGGGAAGGGGGCCGGCCTGGCATCCCCTGCGTCAAACCCCCACGACTGGAGCCCCCTGCCCCCCTGCCCCAGGCTTCCCCGCCTGCCTGGCGCCGTGCCCCGGAGCCGCGTGCGCCGCGCCTTACCCCGTGGAGCTACCCGGGCTCTCCCTGCGCGTTCTGGAAGCGCTTACCTGCGAGCACGGGGGCCCGCGGCCGAGGCCGGCGGGAAACTTCCCCGACCTGCCGGCGAGCATCTCTGTGGCCGCCGCTGCCGGCTGGATGCGCGTGTGCGCGCGGTTGCGAGTGTGTGTGCGCCTGTGTCTGCGCCCGGCGGGCGGGCGGGGTCCGCCGAGCGTCTCCTGTCTCCGGCCGGAGATACCACGGCTGCCTGCAGTTGCGGGAGGCTCACAGGTGGCCGCGTGGCCCCGATGCTCGCAGAGCCCTCCTCTGTCAATCAGCTTGCCCCTCAGCACCGAAGAGAGACAGCAGCGCGCGCCACAGGCGCCCACGGGAGCCGGAGCGGGAGCTGAGCCGGTGCGCCTGGGCGCGGGCCCTGCGCTGGGGCGCGGCGCGGTGGTGCTGAACGGACAGCTCCGCGCGCCCCGGCTCCAGGCGCGGCCACCCCCCGGACTCCGGAGGTGCCACCAACCACCTTGGCGTCTCTGCTCTCCACCCGCGCGTCACAGCGACTCCTTTGCGCCCCTGGCTCGACACAGGGCCAACACCTTTCCCAACCCCTCACCTATCCCCTGGTGACAGCTGTTGTTGCCACCCTCTCTCCTTCCGGGACGCAGGCAGGGGGCTGCCTACGGTGACCTTTCCCCAGTTGGATCTTGGGTGGGAACCCAGCTAGGGAATGAGAGGCGGCTTGAGTTGGGGGGAAGGGCAGGACAGGAGGAACTCCAGGTTTCCCTCTTTAGGGCCCTGCAGAAAAGTTTCCTGAAGCTTTGGGAAGAGGGGCGTTGGGAAAAGGAATTGGGAGGGAGGAAGAGGGGGCAGGGAAGCCCGAGGTCGAGCTCAGCTTAGCTTGCTGGGGCGGGAGCGCAGGCCCCACCCGCGTGGGAGGGAGTCACGGAGTTCTGTTTGGGAGCTCCGCGTGGGCACTCTGTGTGTATAGGCCGGTGTGGTGTGCTGGCTTTGGAGGATTGCAGGGAGGTGTGTGTGTGTGTGTGTGTGTGTGAGACCCTGTGTGTGACCCTGTGTGTGTGTGTGTGTGTGTTCTGAAGAAAATAGGACTCTTCAGTGTCTATGCAACGTTGACCAAAAAAGGACCTCTGAGGGGTGGGGGAGTGTACAGTGTGTCAGAACGGGGAACCTAGGGTATGTTGGTGTGAAGTGTAGTATTCAGTGGGACTGGGACAGGGTCTGTGTGTGTAATGGAATGAGAACTGTGAGGATGCAGACACAGTGGGGTCTGTGGGGTGTGGGTCCAGTGTAGATGTGCTCAGTACTTGTGTCCCCGTTCCCCGGGAGACTCGTGGCCAGATTTTGAGCTCTTGGTCTCCTAAGGTTGTTCCTTAAAGCATTGCTGGCTGGGCTGGAGCTAAGAAATGGGCCCACAGTCATTGGGGAGCCCCCTCCCCTTTGTCTCTCAACCCTTTTGCATGATCCTCATTCACAAAGACTGGAGCATGATGTGAGCCTGGCTGGGAGCTTGTGGACTACAGGTCATGGTCAGAAGTCCTGGGAAAGACCTTATGGCTCTGGATTCACAGGGCAGCCACCCCAACCACAGTGAGCAGCGGCTCTTTTATTTATGCGGCCCTGGCAGTGCCATCCCAGCTAGATAGGTACTCTGCAGAGCTTGAGTGCTCTGGGGCTCCTTGGAGAACCTGGGGAGGACCCTTGAGCTGGCTTCATGTGGGGCTTCCTGGAACCAAGCCTGGTTTCATGCAGAGGAGACCCATCCCTGTTCCAGCCACCTGCCTCTGGATGTGTCTGTGTGCGTGCGTGCGCGCGTGTGTGTGCTGCCTGCTGAGAGGGCTCCACACCCATGTTCCTGCAGGCTTCTGCAAGCCCAGGGGATTTCAGGGAGGCAAGCCATGTGGGAGGGAGAATAGGGTGCTGAGGGCCACATGAGCTTCCTTTCTCTTTTGTCTGATGCTCTTAGTTGTGTGTGTGTGTCTGTATGAGAAAGACAGAGACAGAGAGGGAGACAGTGAGAGGAGAGAGAATCGTGTATTGCTGTTTTTGTCTCCATCTGTTTCTTTCAAGGTCTGTGTTTGGAATAAGCTCACCTCGCCCCCTGTCTAGGTCTGCTGCGTCTATCATCCGAAGTCTGTGGCTCTCCCCGTACCTGGCTGGGTTGCAGTCTAGAGGCCCCTGGGTCTCTTTTATCCCCTTGGGGGTGCTGCGGGGAGTGTACCAGTATTTGCTGGGGTGGGGGGTGAGTGAGTGCATGCATGATCACTGTGTTGTCACTCTTTCAACCCCCTCCCTCACCTTGGGGGGCGGGGGTGGTGGCTGTGAGAGCTCTCTGCTGCAGGTGCCCTTAGCAGTAGTGCCTGGAGACAGGCTTTGAGGGCCCCAGGGCTCTCTCTGCCCTTTGCCCCAATCCTCTCCCTGTACTCTGCCTGGCTTCTGGCCACCACGAAGCTCCCAGCCCCACTTCTGCTTTGCCACCACATCGTGTGGCTTCTGCCACGTGGCCACCATTCCCAGCCACTCTCAATGCCTTGGCCTCACTCCTGACTCTTCTCCTGGTTGAGCTTAATACATAAATCACCTTTTCCTGCTGCATTTGGGGGTCCCCTACCCCCAGGAGCACTTGGGTTTGATAACTGTGGGGTTCTCCTCCCTCCCCTGCTTTATTTATCTGCCTGCCTCCTTCTGTTCCTGTCTGTTTTTGTTCTTGCTCATTCCTTCTTCCTTTGTGGTTGTGGGAGATTTCACCCTTGGAGAGAGAGAGCACCCCCCTGCCGCTGCTGCCTCACCTCCTGCTTCTCTTTGTTTCTCCCACACCCACAGCTGCTCCCCCACAGACACCAGGGCTCTGCCAGGTCCCTGGAGCTCTCACCATCTCATAGGGGTGGCTCCATGCCCCTCTCAGCTCTGCCTCTTGCTCTCACCGGCTCCCCTCCCTTACATTCCCCTCCCCCTTCCCCCTCCCTCCCTCTCTCCCTCTCTCTGATCCCTTTCCACAGCTGACTGACTGTGCCAGCATGCCCCCAGCCCCTCAGGGGAGGGGGATGGAGCCCAGGATCCATACCTGCTCTTTGTTAGCCTTTCCTAGGGTCAAGGACAACCCCCTCCCCCCCCAGCACCTGCCTTTCCTGGAACAGGAAGTGAACTTGGAGCCACAAGGAGAAGCCAGCGTCTGGGGCATATCTTATTTCTTGGAAAGGCTAAGGCAGAAGCTCTGGGGTCTGACAGATGCCTTTGCAGAGGGTTAAGTGTATGTGACAGTCAGAGCCACTGGTTTGTTTCCCAGTGACTGCGCTGAAGAGAAATAATGGAGACATCTCCCTCCTTCTGTACCCGGGAAGCTGGCTGTGTTTATGGTTTATTTAGAGGCCTGAGCCCTGATCTTAAAATACAGCTGCCTGCTCCAGGCACACGACAAGGCCTGCCCCTGGGCTGGCCTGCCACGGAGATCCTGAAGGGGCGGAGGGGTGGGGGGAAGGGGACAAAAGGACCCCAGGCAGTGGCCAAGATCCCTGCACCTGGGCGACTATCATCTCTGCCTCCTCTGCCAGCACTGATCGCTCAGTTGAGCCCACACATCTCAGTCAGCTTTTTTCTCTGACAGCGGAGGGGGCTACACTGGCGGCCTGGCTGAGGCAGCGAGGCTGCCTGACCTACATTCCCCCTGTGGAGTAGCTGAGCGCTCATCCTCTCCCGGGGGTGAGCACAGGCGGGCCCCACCCCACTGGACTAGACTGTTCACCAGTGTTCAGCCTACTGCCCGCCAGCCACCCTCCCCATCACAGCCAGAGGGTCTCTTAAAACCACAAACCAGGTCATGCCATTCCCTCCAGAAAACCTCCCAGGGGCTTCCTGTGGAGCTGAGAATGAAAGGCACTTCCTCCCACAGATCTCCCGTGATGCACCCTTCTCTGCCTGCAGGCTCCAGCCCATTGGTCTCCTCTCTATCGGATATGCTCCATCCCCATGCCCCTTGGCTCCTTCCACAGGGCCTTTGCACCTACTGTTCTCGCTGCTTCTCATGGCAGCTTCCCAGGGCAGGGGCCTTCTTGTCACTCAGGTCTCGATTTAAATGTCACTCCCTCAGAGAGACCCGACTGCCCAATCTAAACTGGATCCCTCAATCAGTTTCTAGCACTTTTTCACAGCACTTACATTAAGGAGTTATTGAATTTGTGGTTGAATGATGAATAAATGATCCTCTGACTTCTGTCTTACTTTAGTCTGTGCCAGCCAGAGTCTTGGCCCCACCTCTTCTTCCTCCTGGTGGACCAAGGAGGCACCCAGAGAGGGAAGGATTGCTGTGCCTAGGGTTGCGGCCTGGACCCCATGGGCCCCAGGGTGCTCTCCCAGGCAATTGATTACCCTAATGGATCTCATCTCTGGCTGCACAGTGGAATCACCTGTGCAGATTTTAAAATAACCGATGCCCCTGCGTGCCTTGGGCCTCAACTCAGACCAATTAAATCAGAATTCTGTGTAGGCCCCTGGTGCCTTGGGCCTCAACTCAGACCAATTAAATCAGAATTTCTGGTGTAGGGCATATGGAATCAGTGTTTTCTTAACACCCCCTAAGTGATTGCAAAGTGGAGCCTAGAGCCAAGGCTGAGAGCCTGAGCAACTTGTCTTTAGGGACGCTGGCACAGAGCTGTGTGCCCGAGCGCAGCCCAGTGATCAGCACCAAGGAGAGGGGCCATAACTTAGCTCAGTAACACCCTGCCACCACATCACCCTGACTCTAGGATCAGTGCCTGCCTGGAGCAGGGGCGTTATAAAGGCTGGGTGCCTTTTTCACCTCTTCTTCTCAGTCCCTGACTCCTACAGGTCTCCCCCAAGACGGTGCCTCTCAGAGTCATTTACCTTGGCTTCTTCCCCTCCTTGGAACAGGATTCATTCTGAGCCTTTATGATGGCACTGGTAATGGGTACAGGAACATGGGATCTAGCAGGACTGTCCAGGTGGATTTATGATGGAAAGGGCACAGAGAAGCTGCTGGGGGCAGAGGCAGACTGGAAGAGAAGAGGGAAGCAAGTGGGGAGGCCTGAGCTGGGGATGTGGGGCTGAGCCTTCTGAAGGAGGGTCTCGGGGAGGGAGGAACAAGACTGCTGGGGGAGATTGACAGAACAGTTGGGGAACAAAGGGTTTTAAGGAGTTTTGCTGCATTATGAATGCAATTCCGCCTTAAGTGTTTCCTCAAGAGGAAACATCTGTATTGCCTTTGCATTGTTTTTGGATGGCAGACTGAATTCATTATATGTGAGTCCTTGCCTAGGCTGT